CCTACCATCTTTTTATGGTTAAATTCCCCCCCCCCCCTAATCACCTCATTGAATAGAATAAATTACTTTATTTATTTATTACATTTATTACAGGTACGGTTTAGGTACGGTATATGTATGAAGTTCTTTAAATAAAGCGTAGTTAACAAATTGTAAACTTCCTTTCCTTATGAACACAGGGGCGTGCAAATACAAAAGACATCGGATTTTTGAAATTTTAAATTCAAGCACAAAAATTATCAAATCTTTTTTCAGTTTTAGAAATTTATGGGTCAAGTCCCCCCCCCCCTCTTAAATTCTAGGAACCTGTAAAAATAAGGAAAATTGATTTTAAAAGTTTTATCATTAGCTTTATAGTTGATTACCAATTCAAATTTTAGTTAATTTATATATACAAGGCTGGCATTCCCCGGCCGCCATGCATGTGTATTACCATTTGAGATGACATTTGAGATTAAATTAAAACAAATGAGTTCATTCCAGAAGAAATGAATTTCCAACTTGCTGACTGTTTGTGTAAGAAAAGCTTTATTCACAAAACATAAATCTTATAAACCGTTAAGTTGATATGAGTTACTATCATAGATAAAGATAGATTGCGCATAAGACGACATTTTTCATCTTGAAAGATATAAATGTACAGAGATGTTTTAAAGATATTCCTATTATATAGATTAACTAGGTCGGTTGTGAACATTGGCAGTACTTATGTCATCGAGTACTTGTGGTGTACATGAGTCCTGTAGAGAGAAATTTAAGTTAGTATAGTCCTTCTCATGTCCTTCTTCAGTTCTCGTCAATATGATATATTGCTCAGTGAAATATTGTTGTTCAAATAGTTCCATTCCCGGAGTTTTTTTTACATTCTATTAAAACTGCAAACCACCCCACTTATCATTGAAGTACACTTTGACCCCTAGAAGTATGAGTTCGCGAACTGTACAATTCTTGGTGATTTTGCGTACATAAGCTATCTATGTTTTATATATTTATCCATGGTTACTTTTCATGAAAATCAATAATTAATGCTAATATTTAGTAAGATTTGTGTGCCCCTGTCCTCCTATGCCGAAAAACTTTATAAAGGAAATTTAAAATCCTTTGGACCAGAATCAGAAAATGTCATTATAATTGTTTGTCTAATTTTTTCCTTCAAATTTTAAGATTTCGCCATCAAACAATTTTATCCCCCCCCCCATAAAAATATCTCTTTTGGGTATCCTATCTTTTCTGTCTTATTTTTATTCGTTCTTTTCTTTTTGTCTTTTGTTAATTCTTTTTGTACTTTCACTTTTTTCTGTCACTTTTTGTACTTTCTCTTTTTTCTGTCACTTTTTGTACTTTCTCTTTTTTCCGTCACTTTTTGTACTTTCTCTTTTTTCTGTCACTTTTTGTCTGGTGTTTTTCTTTCTTTTTTGTCCTTTCTTTTCAACATGTACTTTCTTTTAGTCTTATATTTTCTCTTCTATCTCTTCAACTTCTTACTGTTCTATATTTTCTTTCTTTTACTTCCCTTCTTATTGTCTCTCTTGTGCATATCCCTGTTCTTTATTTTGTTTTCTTTCTATTTGTCTTTTTTACCTATACCCATACGTCTGTATTCCTGTCTAACCGTCTGTAGGCCCATTTGCCATCCATGCATATTTTATTGCATTACTTAGGTTCGCAAAATAATTTAACGAATGCATCTAAAATTGAGCATGTGTATCACAATGTGAGCCTTGTGAGCCTTAAATTTGCTTTATGCACTAGATCTTATAAAACTGTTAAGTATTTTGAGCATTGAAATTCGAGTTTGTTTTTATGCAGGATTGCAAATTGTTTCTGTCTAGCCCTGATGCATGATTTTTTTTATATATGTATTTAAGCAGTGCTAAGCAGTTTGTACTTTAATTCATAGATGTATATCACTGAGCGGTAACGTACTGTTTGACCTAAATACCAAGTTTTATTAAGAGTTCCAAATAATACGGTATAAATGAGGCAGTTGAAAGTACGAAAGGGATTCTCTGAAAACGTGTGGACTCCCGGCCCCTTTTCAATTTAGTAAGAGGCGCCATGTATCTTTTGTGCACTGCGTAGAGATTTAAGTCAGCTCTTGAAAACTCTAAAATTATCATTTTTTGTAAAATATTCTGTCCTTTTAGATTTTGTTTGTTTGTATTATTGATAAGTATCGTTTACCACGTGGGATTTGTACTTGGAAGCCCTCTCCTCCCCCCCCCCACACGAGCCCATATCTACAATCCCGCCCCCATCCGCATGTTCCCAGTGAAAGGGTTGAATCAGGGAAATTATTTCTTCACAAATGAAAGAATAAAGTTCTTACAAACTTACAAATATCTTGGTTGAATGTGGCAGTATTTCAACTAAAATGTATCAGGATGTGTTAAATGAGAAAAATGTGCCCAGTAACCAATGTTTTGGTGGATTTGGTCCCACGTGTTCTGCCGGGAAGGATCCAATCGATCATTTGCAAATTTGTTTATAAACAAGATTCCTGGACCCTTAAAGAGAGGAACAAATTCTTTATTATAGGCACCCGGTGGAAAATAGTTAAATAATAACGTTAGGTTCGTGAGGAACAACATTGAAAACTCGTCTGTTTAAAGCTGTTTCAAGAATTAATGAAAATAAAGCTTTTTAAATACACACTTACGCTGTTAAGAAATGTTCAAGGTAAAAAAGACATTAAAAAAAAGCAGAAACAAATTTGAACATTATACAACCTAGACAAAGTTAAAATTAATGGAAGAAATATAAAGAAAATCTAGATTTTGGATATGGCTATATATCATGAACTGTCCCCTCCCAACACGTGGGACACAGAGAGAGAGAGAGTAAGGGGTCAACAATCTCGTAAACAAAACAACAACCCAACCTACCCATAAGCCCTATGGGGTTATAGACCCTTAGTTCTACAGGTACCCCATCCCCCTAGGGCATAGAGGACCCCCTGCACCCCTCCCCCTCCTCCCAGCCGACGGCCGAGTCCGACACCTCTCTCTTTCCTCAACATTCCAATTTATTTCTGTATTTCAAAGAGAATTGATACGATAAATATAATACTATCAGAATCAAGACAATAATAATTTAGACATTTGTAAGATGGAATTTGAATTTATATGACATAAATAATAATAATATTAATAACTATTACATCGATAATGATAATAGTAATGTTATCAAAGACATTAATAAGAATATTAATGAAAATATTATGGAAAAAATTGCCTAATTATGACTAATAAAGTTGTATATAAAACTTTACACATTTTTTACATGAAAGAAAAATATTTAGAGATAAAAAATTGAATTGAATTGAATTTCATCTTTTAAAATCTTTGATTTAAGCAATACCTTTTTTGTAGTTCTAAATAAATCTAGAAAATTTGTATCATTTATTTAAATCTTAACATTTTTCAAAAAAAAAATGTATTGTTTAAATCAAAGTATACAACAAAACAAACTGATTTTACTCCAGAAATAATTCTCCAAATAGCTTCCTTTTTGCGTGAGAAATGTTTAAAGTTTAGTATAAATCATATAAACTACTTTATGAGTCGAATATGTTTCTAATCATGATAATCAATAAATAACTCTAATCCTTGGTAAAATTCCTATGTCAATACGTCAAAAAAAATGTTAAAATTTTTTATTACACATAAAAACCAATATTTAAATAAAGCTGTGCTGTATGGCAGAGGCTCGTTTACTGTATAGCGGAGGAACGGTCTTCATTGCAGAGGCTTGGTCTGCATAGTGGAAGCTTGGTCTGCCTAGAAAATCTGGGAGGCTCAAGTCTGAAGAGCAAAGGCTCATGGCGTCCGGGGGTTCCCTCCCTCGTACGAATAACTGCACGTAAGAATGACTGAACTTTTGATTGTGTAAAGGTTTGTACACTCTGAACTTTAAACCTTGATAACAGATGAATTATGAAGGCACGTTTCAAGTAAAAATTCCAAAAGTAACAATTTTTTTTTATCTTGGAGATGTAAAAAAAATCTTTGAAAGAGTGAATATTGTCTTCAAATTAAAAACATTGTTTCCATTGAATAGTTTATGGCATGTGACTGTGAGTCGTGATATGAAATCAAAATTATTCTTTCATTTTGTAAGATACAACTTTTCGCAGCAAGGAAGACGCACATCCAGATGTAGTTAATCACATAAATCTACAGACAGATGTATTTAATCACATATATCTACATCCAGATGTAGTTAATCACATAAATCTACAGACAGATGTATTTAATCACATATATCTACATCCAGATGTATTTAATCACATATATCTACATCCAGATGTAGTTAATCACATATATCTACATCCAGATGTAGTTAATCACATAAATCTACAGACAGATGTAGTTAATCACATATATCTACATCCAGATGTAGTTAATCACAAATATCTACAGACGGATGTAGTTAATCACATAAATCTACATCCAGATGTAGTTAATCCCATATATCTTCATCCAGATGTAGTTAATCACATAAATCTACGGACAGATGTAGTTAGTCACACATATCTACAGACAGATGTAGTTAATCACATATATCTACAGACAGATGTAGTTAATCACATATATCTACAGACAGATGTAGTTGATCACATATATCTACAGACAGATGTAGTTAATCACATACATCTACAGGCAGATGTAGTTAATCACATATATCTACAGACAGATGTTTTAAGTAAATTTGTTAGTTGGTACCCCACCCTTCATAATCTGCCTGTATATACCACAGGGCTATAAAAGCAATAATTACATTACGTCATTTTCAAGCATCGCGCACTAAAGTTTTTTTGTACAATATCCTACGCAAAAAAAGCAAAGTGGTGGAATTGGAAAAAAAATTTTTTAGTTATTTAATGATTCTAAATCAGATCCAGATAAAAATAATAAAATTGGTAAAACGAAATTGAGTTTGCTTGTGCAACAAACTCAATGAGTTATCAAAGAATATTTTCCTGTGAGTCATACTTTTAGAATTCCAGATGTCCTGAACCACTAACCAGTGAGCCTGTGAACATGAAACTTTACAGGCATGGTTGTTTATTTATAATATACAGTGGTGCTCATAAAAGTTTGGACAATTATTATGACATTTAAACAATCTTATGTGCATTTGTTTTCTTCTTTAAGATCAAATAATACAAGTTTTAATTCCTTTGAAAATTTTACTCTGCGGGAAAACTTTAGTTCCGGCGGTAGGTAGATCAAAATTGATTGAGATTCAAAATAAATTTAAATTTTTGAAATTTTATCAAATATTTTTTCATGGTTTCCAACCGACAGTTTTGATTTTGAAATAAACAGAGTTGTCAGCGCTAAAATTGTGTTTACTTAATTGAAAAGCTAAATAACACTTTAAAATGAAATAAAGTTCTCTGATGCAGTTTACCAATTCATTATACTGATAAGGAATCATTTGACGCAGTACTTAAGCTTTCCTCAACGCGGTTGTTCTGATTTTATTGCTGAACGTTGAAATGAGATTAAAACATAAAAAATATTCGTTTTGAAAATCTGTATTGTCAATTTATTAGATACATTGTATACAGAGTCTATTATTCATTCATAATCTACTAGACTTCTAGGTAAGGTTTTCAGCGAAAAGGGGAAATTGTTTCGTGATAAGAAATGTTTTCCCAAAAATTTTGTATTTTTTTGCATTTCGTTTGCTTCAGAATTTTTTTCGCGAAATTTCTCTTTTATCCGTTTCGCGAAATAAAAAATGCGAAAATTTCTGGAAAATAAAATACCAAATTTTTGCGAATTTTTTATCAGACACTTATTAAAGTAAAGGGAGAGAAATTATTTATTATAATTTCTATTTATATACGTCATGTAACACCCATTATAAAGTGCGAAAAAGATTTTGCCGGGGTCAAAATAAATGCAAGGATCGATGCTGGAGAAGCAAGTAACCGTATAGAGGGTCAGGTGTATTGAACCCTCTTTCTTATCTAAAGAACAACATTTATCTTGCCAGCAGAGAAAGTAGATCGTCGGTGATCTTAGCCCTGATGTTCCACAGGGGAGGGAGTTAGCATCAAGCATCCGATCAGAAGAGTCAAATGGAAATATATTTGCTCCTGGCGAATGTCATGTATACTTAGATCAACTCTAGTTGGTTCAACAATAAGCGTTTGTATCATTATAATGTAAATATATTGTGTGTTCAACCATGCCTTGTTATTTCATTCAATCTGGGGTTTTTAATACTGAATTTTTTTCAAGTCTATAATACACATTACAATAACATATAAAGTTTTACTCAATTTTACCCAACTTATTTAATAGCAGGTGTGGACAAAGTTACTTTATCACCCTCTTGTAAAACACAAACAAAAATATTTTGCAACTGATGAGAATCTGTCTACAGAGTATAAAAATAAGTTTACATTGTAAAAAAAAGAACAAATAATGTTTGATACTAATGAGTTAAATAAAGCCAGAGCTCTCTGGCAGACTCTCCGCCTATCTTCCGCCTCATATGACAGGTAAAACCTCCTTGCTTCGATTTGTCGTGACTACTAACCCTAATTTGGCTTTAACCTGATGAATCCTATTTTTTCCTCCTTCGTGGATCAAATCTATTGGCTTGAATTTAAATAGAACTCTGGGGTCAATGGTGGCTTGGTTTTCCAAGCGTTCAAACACATGTAAAACCCATGTTCTCTAGAATGGTATCTTTTAACATATCCTAGTACATTATGCAAGAGGCGACAAATCATCCGCCCCACTGCTATAGTTGACTACAGTTTATTTACAATTAAGTTTTGTTTCGCAAAAGTTTTTGTTCGCTGGAAACCTACTTCTAGGGTGCTTGGCAACAATCTTCGATTTTAACTTTTAGCTGTTGCTTTATATGGACTTTTTCTTTGCTAATATCGAACAATAACTTTTTTTGTTGCGAATTTATCTTTTTTTTTCGTGGATTTTGGAAAATCTTTATTTTTAAAGCCTTTAAAGGCACATTTTTAAATTATGACCATCCATGAACCTTCCCTGTGGTCATCCGAGTTGCCACAAAAATGTTCATCTGTGCTATAGTTTTATTTTAGTTAAGCCTCATTTGAAAAACATTGAACATTGAAGGCAATAAAAAATTTAATCAAACTAAAAAACGTCTAGTTCATTAAACATTGTTCACAAAATACTAAACATTCATCTTTAATTATTTAATGCGTTTTATCTAAAGTGTAAACTGTGCCGGGGTTCAAGGACAAACTTTAAAGAATTAATTATGAGAGAACAAACATTTAAAATGTGAGTATGTTTTTGGAGCTGCAAGAAATATAACTAAAATAAGTAACTAATCAGCAGCAATTAAAGTATATCAAAAATGAAATTTGAAATTTTTTTCAATTGGTGCAAAAATATTTCAATTTTCTGAATTTGCATAATTACGGAAAAAAGTTGTTTTTTTTAGATGAGAGTTCAGACTTTAAGGAAGGGGCTCAATGTACCTCACGAATTGTTATCTGGAACGTTCCATCTTAGCTTTTATGGATTTATCTTTTAGGTGAGTTTTAAAAATCAAGATTCATGATTTACATGTTCTACTTAAAACATGTGTTTTGTGAAACAATTTGTAAATTACAAAACTTACAAACTTAGCAAAAATATGTTTTGAAAATGCTAAAATCTTTAAACGTATATGTGAGCAAAGAATTTCATCTTTGCCACAAACTTAAATTTTCTAATCCCTATATCTTTGCAACCCAATTTTGTAGATATTTCAAATTATAAATTCTTAACTGGTTAGATTAATAATAAGTTTGAAATATCAGGGTTTACGCAATCAGGTAACATAGCGAACTGTTTTATAATAGATTAACAATTAATATTTTTCAAAATAATTTTAGCAAAAACATTTGCGCAGTTAGCATGTATATATATATATATATATATATATAGGTATATTTTATTTAGAATGTAGTTTAAATCATGCAAGGTTCACTCTCTCAACTCATGTAAATAAATTCCCTAGCTATAAACCGGATCAAAAATCAAAATCTCATAAAAATTTGGCAATTATTAGAAGTAAAGGTTGGGAAAAGGAAAAAAGGAAAGAATCAGAATCAAGGTTTGCATCAAACAACATTAATTTTATTTTATTCTTATCTAAAGATTCTTTAAAACCATTTCCCAAATCAACAATAATCGAAAGTGATAAAATATTGTAAATCGTAGATAAATGATGACTTAATTTTCGAATTGCTACCTTTGCAATTTGATGGGTTAAACCTGTGATATTTCAAAGTTTTACTGTTTGAGCCGAAATTCTAGTTGAAAATTTCAAAGATCTTTGTTAATCAGCTTAAATAGATAAAAGAATTTAAAATTTTAGCATGAGGCAAGTGTTCACTTTTTTCTTCTTTCCAAGATATTTCTCAAATTCTGATTTTGTTACTCCGAAAACTTTTTTTCATTTTTTAAATGATTATTTGGTAAATTCCTTTAGCTAATTTCATCTTCATCTTATCATGAATTATTTTAAGAATCATTTCTAGCAAAATATTATGTTTTTACAACACAATAATATGTTAACCACTGATCACGTTTTTTATGACTGATAACTAGAACCTGATGAATCACTATCAACCATGATTTCAAAATGTGAACTAGTGTACAATTAGATAATATATCGACCCACCCTGGACTAACCAGAGCGAGATAAGTTTGATTTCTTCTTTTTAAATTCAATCGCATGTTAATCTATAATTCAATCAACTTTAAAACTACAGATTTGTCTTTTTATACTTTTCATTTTAAACGCATATGTCTATTAAAAAAATAATAGAGAGAAAAGGCGAAAAATTATGTTTTATCAGTCAAATGGTGATCGAAAGTCACAGTTTTCTCGGTTAAAGAAAAGAAAAGGAAAAAAGAGAATTCAAACTTTATCCGGGATTATGGGATCTTTTTAATCTAATCTTATTATCGGTGGACTATCCATGTAATTGTGGTTGTAATTTAAGCTAAACTAAAATCTTTATAGTTTGATCTCCCATTTCTTAAAACAGGCGCCCAAAGCTCACCTGCACATAAAACATAACCCAAACATTGTGAAAGACATTACGACTGAAAAATCTAAAATCTCCTTAAAATAATTTAATTTACAAGATTTTTTACTCCGTAATTATCTCTTGGAATTTTTTCCTTGCATTTATTGATATTGATTTTTTATTCCCGCATTTCTAACTCAGTGAACATTATTTACACAAATTAAAAAATTGGAAAAAGCTTGCAATCAATATCATACAATTTAAAAAACCTAGATATTTTTAAAAACGTGACTGCAAAAACTGATTTCTAGAATTTTCTTGTCTGAAGCGCAATAAAATGTCGTTTGAAAACCAGTTGGGTATGTTTAATCCAATGATGTCAGGGGTGAGTTGTTAAGAGAAAATGTATACATACATTTAAATGAAATATTTACATGAATGAAATTTATAATTACTTTGCATTTGTTAAAATTGACTTCAAATAGAAATGTTGAAACATCACGAAACCTCGTAATGTTTTGTATAATATTCTCTTCTTTTGTCGCACTCGCTCTTCCCTCCAAAATGGTCCCAGTATGAAATTATATCTATCTGACATGATCTGATCGACTTTTCATGTATCTAAGTGATTTGTTCCGTGCGAAATTTTTAACACACAAACGCTTTTTTATATGAAAAGAAAATAGTTGAAATATTAAGAATTTGTTCAAAGTTTATTCGTTCGCTATCTTTAAAAAATCTCTCAACTTACATTTATTCTTTTTTGTCATTTCTTAATCTCAGTAGCTTTACTCTATTAACGTTAATAAAACACGGAACCTCAAAAACATTTAATATTTATAATATTTATTTTATTTAATGTAATATTTGACAAATCTGTAATCTGCGAGGATACAGGGGTAGAACATGAATGAATTATCATTTATCAGAATGTATTACTGCAGTTTCATCCGTAGACGAAAGCTTATCGAGATCTCTTTACTCATCCGAACCTAATTCTTCTGTCGGCATGCGAATAAATTTTCTTTGGATCATCCAGTGTATGTAGATGTGTCTTTCACCACGAGCTCAAGGATGAGTTTGATGATGTGTGGGAGTGGGATGACTCAGATGGGGCGGGTGAATCACGAGCCAAAGATTTCTCACTGTTCATCCAGGAATGAGACATGATCTGCTCTAAACCAATCCTATCTTGAGGTCTGAGCTTGAGACAGGATTCTATCAAATCCTTGCATTCCTTGGACACGGTCTTCCTGTAAAACAGCTTAGCATCTACAATCTCTTCGTCTTTCTCGAATGGAATATCACCCTGGACCATATCAAAGAGAAGAATTCCTAAGGACCATACGGTAGCAGGGTTTGCTTTATATCTTCCACAGCTAATCCACTCAGGTGGGGCGTACACACGTGTACCCTCGAAGTCTGTGTAATAATCATCGTGCAGAAATCCTCCGGACCCGAAATCAATTAATCGAATGGTTTCTGCTTTATGATTCACTAGGATGTTTTCATCCTTAATGTCACGATGAATGACACCTTGCTTGTGGCAATCGACAATGGTTTGTACGATTTGCTTAAAGAGCTTCACGGCTAGAACTTCACTCATTCGTTTTTTTTCAGTGATAAAATCAAACATGTCCTTACTGTGTTCGGGTCGTTCGAGAATGTAGACAAATGAGTCAGATCTTTCGAAATATTCTATGAGTTGAATAACTCCGCTAACTCCCTGAACTCGATGGAGAAGTTCAAGCTCTAGAGGAACTGATTCGTTATCCAGGGTTCCCCAAACGGATACTCGATTTTTGGCTACGTGTTTGATGGCAACTTCTTTCATGTCGCTTTTTCTTGTTCCACAATAGACAACTCCAAATCCTCCTTTACCAAGCACTGAGTTAACTTTGTAAACATCTTCTAGCTTTTGCTTTTGCCGCTTGTCACCTGCTGATTTGCAAATACCAGGGTTCGAATTCGAACTTTCGTTTGGTGTTGTGCACATTGTTCTTATTAAGTATGCAACTATTTTTAAGATGTGTTCTCTGTTTTATGTTCCTGTTGCGACTGTTCGCTTAGGTGGCTCTAGTCAAACTAACCTAACTACTAACTAGTAACTAAACTAAACTGTTAGCCTTGGAACGCAGAGAGAGAGAGAGAGAGAAGAGTAGAGAGAGAGAGCACCGAGGAGGGGGGGGGGGGGTACCGGCCATTCACCGCAACGTACACTTCAGAATTTCGCAGATTTACACATTTTGTAATTATTATTGCTAATTGCATAATCAAAGAATTGATAATAATAATTTGTAATTTTGTACAAGCTAAAAAATCGAGGGAAAAAAATATTTTTGCAAATCACACGATTTCTGGAATCTTTCCCCCACCCCCTCCATTCCATTAATTTAGTCTACATAAAATCTTTTCTTGTTTTAAAAAAGTAGATCAAAAAATCGAGTACTAGGATTAAGCTTGTAAATGTTACTCTTTAAAATTCTGTTTTACACTTTTTAATTCAACCATATCAATATAAAATTTGCTGAACAAAAATCTATTACATCTATTGAAAACAATGACCCCGGGATACCTACAAATCTTAAATTACTATTCTTGAGAAAAAAATCATTTCCTGAGAACTTCAACTTATTCATGTTTTTAAAATTGCGTAGAGTCTTCAGATAGTGTCTGACTGTGTAGTGTGTATAGAGCTTATAAAAACAGCCCTAGGGCCTGGGTTTCCTATGCATGTATACTAGGCCACCACAGAGATATGCAGAGATACCCGCGGTAGCCTGGTATTTCCGTCTCCATGCTTCTCCATGCTGATACAGGGTGTCCCAACAAGCATGGGAATTAAGTGATGGCGAACATCTTTGATCTCCGTAAACACAATTTTATAATATTTTATTAATTTTATAATATTTTAATAATTAATGTTTGTTTTTAATCTTTGTGAAGGAACAATCTCAAGGAATAATAATTAACTGACGATGGTCAACCCAGACCGAAATATATTTTCAATAAATGTGGAACTAACATCTACTTTTTTACTCTACAGAGGTTTGGTCCATCACCATCACTGAATTTTATAATATTTTACTCTCAACAATAAACACAAAAAAACCTTCTAGTGTGCAATAGAATCCTATTAAAAAGGAAATCAAAATATTCCGCTAATTTATAGCTCCGTCAAGGAATCTAAAACTCTTTCTTTTAAAATGACATATTTTAAGCCGTAATTTCATTTTGTATATTTAATTCGGACATTATAGATAACAATAACATTTTACAAAGTGCATTGTTAAGTATTAATTAAAAAAGTGAGGCATCAACCAAAAGTGTCAAAGCAGTGGGGGGGGGGGAGGTAGATGAAATACCTCCCTAGGTCGTATTTCACATGGAAAGCAATTTTTTAAGAGATATATGTGAAATTAAAATTAACTCAAATGCAGAAAGACCTTAATATTTAATATAAAATTTAAAGATTTAAGGACTGGCTGGCAAAATCATCCAATATGTCAGTCAG